TCTAACCATCATCATCAGGTAAACATATGCACGTAATAATCCAATTGAAGGTGTGAAGCCTCCTAACATGCAATAGCTGTTACACCCTCTACCAGCTTGTTCAACCTCTTGGTCATTAATCTCTCACCATAAACCTCACTTGATTGGCATTTGTACCTACAATTAACATCAAATTACACATTTACACTCATCATCAGATTTTGCTAAACCTTGCTCTTTCCTTGGTTTTTTAAAATGACGAGTTTAAGCTTCTATTAGATAACAGTTATGTGGACTTATGTCTAAGCATCTATAATTATATTTGAATTCAAAGCAAAGACAAAAGTCCTACAACTAATGGCAGGGCCTTACCTCAAACCAGGGGTAGAGACCATGGCAGGCATTATCGGGCCAGCCCAGCCCAAGTTCGGCCCAAACTTCTTTTCAATGTAACATTTTATGATATTTTAAACTTCTCTTTCAAGGTTGACAATGTAGTATGGAAACTCAAATTTAGTATGGAAACTAAAATGGACTATCTTTACAAGCTTACAACTAAGAGCTAAAAAGAGAAAACACATTCCAGGTTAGTCTAACTAGTTGTATGTTTTTCCCGAAAATAGAAGCGGAGTGTTGTTATCCTGAAACGATCAAACTATGAATGTCATCAAACAGCGGTATCGTTTCAGGATGACATTATTTGGAAGTCAAATTATTTTTACTCGTAGGACGATTTTTTATCATTTTAGTGTATTAATACAGGGAATTGATACCAATAAAGGGAATGTTGATCTTTGGGTACAGGGATAATGGTAATGGACAAAGATCAACATCTATGAACATGAAATTCATTTTGCATTGGGATGGAGTATTGAAGAATAAAGGGAATTGAATACCTTGCAGGGGGTAAGGGAATCAAAGGAGTCAAACTCTGTGCAAGTCTAACAGCATCTTCCTCACAAGTTACGGTTGTGTTGAAGCAAAAGTATCTCCCGCATGTGGACTGATCCTCGAAAGCCCGAATATGAACGTCCGCAAGAAACTCAACATGAACCACAGCCAACACTCCATTTTGATACATCTCTGCCGCGCCTTCGAGATACGACAGCGTAGGGGCAGAGCTCAGCTGAGCAACACCCGGCCCATTCACTAGGCCTGCGGTTATGGACACCATGTTCACCATTCTGTCCATAGCCAGTGCCAATGCTGCCTGCTCACTCTTTGTCTTTGCAAGGGCATACCATAGCTGGACAAGTAGTGTATAATAAATACTAAATCAGACTTAAATTATAAATAAACACAATTTAATACCTTACCAGACAGGATAAGACCAATTTAAATCTGACTTAAAAAGAGTAGACCATATCAGACCAGTCCCGACCAAACTAGTTCACACTATACATTTTATTGAATTATTGTAGTCTACGAACGCCCTTAGAGGTATTAGGTTCTACTAACAGCGTAAGCGGGGGAAACGTAAGAGGTCATGGATAAGTGGATAACATAGTGGTTTATATAAGAGAAAAGCTGCAATATGATCTCAAGGATTGAGTTATAGGCATTCAACTAAGTCATAATGCACTATTGATCAAACCACCCTAGAACATTGCACCAAAGAAGAGTGTCATCATCATAAAAGTTCAGTTTATTCTCATATAAGTAACTGATAAGTAAGTGTTTTGGGGCTTGCCTTACCTTATTTTTTATGCAAAAATCTGTGTTGCTCCATGAGGTTTCATCCACACCCTTGAGAGAAGAGATGTTGGCTGTCCAAATGGCTGCTGTTAAAGATGAGGTCAACACAACTTTCTGTATGCTGTCACTTTGTGCACACGCCTCCATCACATTAATTATGCCCTTAACCTCTAAATCTGCAACCATTTCCTATAAAATCCTCAATTCAATAAAAAATGATTAGTATCAGGCTATCAGCATGTATTACAACTGAATCCAAGGAAATTCAAAAATTTGATAAATGGAAGTTTACCAACAAATTGACTGAAACCAAGTGGATAAAAGCTAAAATCGACCATAACGTAGCAGGCCGTTTGTATTAGAATTTAAGATTTATGCTTAAAAATGCGCTTAATCCGACCCAGAGAATGACTGGAATGTGGCAAAACTGGCCAAACTCAGCACAAGGCAAACGAAAACAAATTATATTACTTGATTCAGTGATTGAGTTCGCATTTTTCAGAACCAAACTGGCAACAATATAAGAAAAAAGAAAACTCTTTTCCTTTTCTGTTTTGCTAAAAGATGTTTTTTTAAATGAGATTAAAAAACAACTTACATCATAGCCATCTGGATTGTCAAGGGAACAAAAAAGACCAGAACAGCCTCTAAGGGCTTCAACAATGCTTCTGTAACTTAACACATCCACACTATATATCACCAGTTTCTCCTTCACTGTTTTCTGCAAATCCTTGACTTTGTTTATAATTTCTTTCTCTCCTTCAAAATAAAATAAAATAAACTATTAATTCCAATCTCTATGCATATGAATAACTTATTGTAATCACATCATCAAATTGTCTACTGAATAGCTAAACTTTGCTAAAGATATTTGTAAAGAAATATTTTTGACAAGTTAAGGAGAATAATCAAATACGTTTCTATGAACATTGTGGAAGGAACTAGGAAGGCCATTAATTTCCACTTTTACTAAAAGGTAGAAACTTTTATACTCCATGTTACTTTCGTTTTCAATAGATGAAGAAAGTTTGATCGATAATGCAAATAAGTCAAAAAGTGAGTAACCAAACAGCCCCTTATTGAATACGAAAATCCAAAAGGGTACTCTCCCAGTCTCCCTGCTCTTAAACGAAGTGTTCATTAACTAAAAGCAATCTGTTTATAACTAAAATTATCATTTATGAATCAAGGAAGTAAAACATATTAGAAATAAATTGTTTGTATTTGTCCATAAAGCTAATTATATAATTCAAGGAAATAAATGATCACACAATTAAGTTCCCATACCTCCCTATTAAGTTCATTGTTACATGAAAAAGAAAAATTTGAGAGAAATAAGACATTATTTCCCTTCCTTTTAAGCACTAAGCAGCAAAGTAGGGGTACAATTCGAAACCCAAAAACAAAAAAACTATTACCCTCATTATGACTTATGAGTAAGTGAGAACTTGGTTACACTTAAAAAAAACATTTTTATTCTTATTCACTACATAAAAACAGTCCAATCTTGTTTACCAGTTTGTAATAAAATTAGATGTCAAACTTGTGAAAGAACATATTTTCTTCTTTAGAGTTATTTGAGGAAGAGATGAAATATATAATAGATTTAAAGAGAGTTACCAGTATTCTGGACAGCAGCATGAACAATATAGCCTTTAAGGAGGAGTTTCTTCAAGATCCAGTAGCCCACAAAGGTGGATGCATCAAGAACACAAACTGTTTGTAAATACTCCTCACTCTCTTCACCCATAAATGCAACTTCTATTTCATTTCCTTTCATCTCTATAAATAAATAAACTTGATCAATTTCAGTGGAATTACTCACTTTATTAATCTCTTCTTCCCTGCCTTAATAATTCTTGAACCTCCCCCCTTCACTGTGTGTGTTGGTATGGTAGCTGCTTTATATTGCTTTTGAGAATTGAATTGTTTGAAGCATATATATAGAGAGAAGTGATGGCATGACTACATCACGGGTGAGGGAATAATAAGGTTAGAGAAGAGTAGTTGAAGTATTCAGCTTAATAATGTTCTAATCTGATTACACCAGTTATATTTAGAGCCCGTTTGGTAATACTGAAATCGACCGAATCGGTTGATCTGCTGAAATTTATGAAGTTCTTGCTGAAATGATTGTATTGACTAATTTTGTTGATTTATGAAAAAATTAAGGAAAAAATAATTAAAATACCCCAAACTTTGAAGGGGTGTGAGATGAGCACCCCAAACTTGCATATGTAATTTAAATACCTCAAACTTTGTATAAAAAGTTATTTTAATGCCATAGTCAAGTATTAATTTTTTCAAAAATGTAAATTTATGGTGTTAATTACATAATTTAAAATATTTTAGAATTCATGAAGACACAATCAACATTCTAAACTTCCATTGCGAAATAAATAATGTTACCTGCAATCTATATAATTGCAACACTTTTAATTTTCTATTTTAAACTATGCAATTAACCCCATAAATTTAGATTTGTGAAAGAAATAATACATGGGATGGTGCAAAAATAACTTTTTATATAAAGTTTAAGGTATTTAAATTACATATGCAAGTTTGGGGTGTTCACCTTACACTCTTTCAAAGTTTGGGGTATTTTTATTATTTTTCCCAAAATTTAATGATTATCTACAGTAATTTCAACGAATATAGTAAAAAAAAAAGTTACTGCACCCTTAATTTCTTATTATTACAGAATTCTGTGCGCGAAATCAAAAGTTACGTGTTTAGTTAAAAAGTGGGGTGATAAGCCAAGAAACATGATCACCATGCGAGCTCTTATTTTTTTCAACCCAAAAGGTGGAGTTGCCCACCCCAGAGGTTTTCACACCCTGATTGAGGCCCGATATGAAAGAATGTTGAAGGAGTACACTTCGTTACGATCTCAATTCAAACAATTTTTTAGTGAGGTGAGGCAAAGTCTAGTGTCTATATCGATTTTTTCTATGGGGTGGGAAATATTCTAAAGTGGCTTGGGATGACATATGTCTACGAAAAGAGGAGGGGGGCCTTGGAATTCATAGTGCCAAGGTTTGGAACCATGCTCTCCTCTCTCGTACACTTTGGGATGTTATCCCACACAACCGTGACTCGATGTTCATGAAGAAATTGTTGGTGATTTTAGTGTCACCGGCCATTTTGTGTAATTGGAAATGACATGAGTGCCAATGGGAATTAGAACTATGATCTAATACAAGTTAGTAGGTGTGGAGTGCACACTTGTATATAAGAACTAGTTTAGTTCCAAAGTGTCTACGTTAGTGGAACTCGAGGTAGAACTCGAGGTATAACTTTCAGTAGACCAGCTCTGTGGTTCTAGACCGAGTTCTAGAACGGTTAGGCAGTTTCCAGCAGTTTCCCAAAAACTGCTGCGGTTATTCTTAATCGTGTTACAACTGCCTAGGACGATCAATATGGATATATATCACCATATTTCGTACAGAGGATAGAGAGGATCAATATCCAACATATCTTCATCACTTTGGCATTCAAATTAAAGATAACAATCCATATACTCGACTAGTTTGGCTCTAGTTCTTGTGCCTAAGTTCTAGAGTGTCCTTAAGGATTATCCTAGATTGAATTTCTTGTAACCCAGGCATAGGGGAGAAATATCAATTCGGAAAGTGAACTTACACGATCCTTAAGATATCCAAGTACTCAATTATCACCCCCTACGTGATATACCCCAACAATCGAATTGATATTTCTTTTGTGATAATCATGAGTACCGTGGAAGAGATGACATCCAAGTTCAACAAATTGGACAAGTTTCAAGGGAACGATTTCCGTAGATGGCAGAAGAAGATGCACTTTCTTCTCACCACGTTGAAGGTTGTGTACGTGTTGAGCACTCCCATGCCGGAGGTGATGGAAGATGAAACCTTGGAACAAACTAGGAGGCGCAACAAGTGGGAGAACGATGACTACATATGTAGAGGCCACATCCTTAACGGTATGTCCGATGCGTTATTTGATATTTACCAAAACGTTGAGAGTGCGAAGGAATTGTGGAATTCTCTTGAGTCAAAATACATCGCCGAGGATGCTTCTAGTAAGAAGTTCTTGGTGAGTGATTTTAATAATTATAAAATGGTTGACTCAAGGCCGGTTATGGAACAATACAATGAACTCCTTCGTGTTCTTGGTCAATTTAAACTCCACAAGATAGGTGTTGATGAGTCCTATGCCGTGTCGAGTATAATTGACAAACTTCCACCCTCTTGGAAGGATTTTAAACGATCTTTAAAACATCAAGATGAGGAACTGTCCTTGGTTCAACTTGGGAGTCACTTGCGCATTGAGGAGAATCTTCGTGTGCAAGAGAATGACCAAATTATGGGTGAAGTTGAATCTAGAATGGCTCATGTTCACTTGGTTGAGGATAATAAATCTAACCCGAAAGATAAGGGGAAAGGCAAAAAGCGCAAGTATGAAGACCATGACAAACCCAACAAGAAACCGAAAGGTTTGGTTTGTTGGAGGTGTCAAAAGGTTGGACATGTCAAGCGTGATTGCCGTGTGAAACTGAACAAGAATGGCGCTGGAACGAGTGGCAGTGGACAGGAACGGTCTAAGGACCTGGTTCCACGGAAAGGAGGTCAGTTCCTGACTAACTTTGATAATTCTGTCCAGAATTATGTATCACTCATTCCAGAATCTTTTTATGTACAGGATGATGACTGTGCATGGTGGATTGACTCGGGGGCTACGAGCCATGTGTGTAAGGATAAAGGATGGTTTGAAGACCTAGAACCAGTGGAGGTCGGTTCCTTATTACGCATGGGAGACGAGTCAATGGTGCCTATCTTGGGAAAGGGTGTAGTTGTTTTAGAATTTACTTCTGGGAAAACAATTACGTTGTTTGATGTTTTGTATGTACCGAAGGTTCGAAAGAATCTTGTTTCGGGAAGTATGTTGAATAATTTAGGGTTCAAACAAGTGATTGAATCCGATAAATATATTCTGTCCAAGGGTGGTGTGTTTGTTGGTTTTGGATATTTATCAAATCGCATGTTTCGTTTAAATGTTGTGAATAAATTAATTCCTAGTGATAATTCTGTTTTTGTGGCATCTTCCATGAATGATTGTATGATTTGGCATGCTAGACTAGCTCACATTAATTTTAGAAAAATGCATGAAATGTCTAAAGATGGTTTAATTCCTGCTTTTGGTATTAATGATGATAAGTGTAGGACTTGCATGCTTACTAAGATCACAAAACAACCGTTTCCTAATGTTGAAAGGAATTCGGCTATTTTGGATCTTGTACATAGTGATCTATGTGACTTTCACTCAACTCCTTCCCTTGGCAATAAAAAGTATGTTGTTACTTTTATTGATGATTCGACTCGGTTTTGTTATGTGTATTTATTACACACCAAGGATGAAGCTTTAGAGAAATTTAAAGTGTATAAAACCGAGGTTGAATTGCAATTGGGTAATCCAATTAAATGTCTTAGGACTGATCGGGGAGGAGAATATATGGATCCCCATTATTTTCAATCTGTTGGAATCATTCATGAGACCACGGCTCCGTATACACCACAACAAAATGGTGTGGCCGAACGGAAAAATCGAGTGTTAAAGGAAATGGTTAATTCCATGCTTTCCTACTCGGGTTTGAGTGAAGGGTTTTGGGGAGAGGCCATGCTCACGGCCTGCTATGTTCTAAATAGGGTTCCAAATAAAAGGAACAAGACAACCCCATATGAGCTTTGGTACAAGAAAGCGCCGAATTTGAAATATTTTCGGGTTTGGGGTTGTAGGGCGGTTGTAAAATTGCCCGAGCCCAAAAGGAAAACTTTGGGGGAAAGGGGAATTGATTGCATATTCATAGGGTATGCTGAACATTCCAAGGCTTATAGGTTTTATGTAATAGAACCTAATGATGCGGTAGCGGTTAACACCGTGATTGAGTCTCGGGATGTGATCTTTGATGAGATGAGATTTTCATCAATTCAAAGACCAAAGGACCTAGTTCCAGGCACTAGTGAGGTGCAAGTTCCGGAATGTTTGGATGGTGTTTTGAATCCCGAAGCACCACAAATAAGGAAAAGCAAACGAGGCCGCATCGTGAAAGACTTTGGTCCCGATTTTCACTTGTATTTAGTGGAAGGTTCAAGGGATGAAACGGGGGTACAATATTCATATTGTTACCAAGTTGAGGATGATCCAAAGACCTTTAAAGAGGCAATGGAATCCCGAGATGTTGCCTTTTGGAAGGAGGCAATTGATGATGAAATGTCATCAATTATGGAGAACAACACTTGGGTGTTGTCGGATTTGCCACCGGGTTCTAAACCCCTTGGTTGCAAATGGATCTTCAAAAAGAAGATGAAAGTGGATGGAACTGTTGACAGGTTCAAGGCTCGGTTGGTCATTCAAGGTTTTAGACAAAAACCCGGAATTGACTATTTTGACACGTATGCGCCGGTTGCTCGAATTACAACCATTAGGTTGTTAATTGCTTTGGCGGCTATACACAATCTGATTATACATCAGATGGATGTCAAGACGGCATTTTTAAATGGTGATCTTGATGAAGAAGTTTACATGAAACAACCGGAAGGTTTTGTTATGCCGGGAAATGAGCATAAGGTTTGTAAACTTGTTAAATCATTGTATGGGCTGAAACAAGCACCCAAACAATGGCATCAAAAGTTTGATGAAGTTATTTTATCCAATGGTTTTAGTTTAAACCAATCGGACAAGTGTGTCTATAGCCGTTTTGATGCTTTAGGGGCGGGTGTTATCATATGTCTCTATGTTGATGACATGCTGATTTTTGGAACGGACCAAAATCAGGTTGATGAAACCAAAAGGTTGTTATCATCAAGGTTTTCCATGAAGGACATGGGGGAGGCGGATGTGATCCTTGGTATAAGGATTAAACGGGTAAACAAAGGGATTGCTTTGACACAAGCTCACTATGTTGAGAATATTCTCAAAAGGTTTAATTATAGTGATTGTTCACCCGTTGGTACTCCCATGGATCCTAGTGTGAAGTTGATGCCTAATAAAGGAAAGGCGGTATCACAACTTGAGTACTCTCAAGCTATTGGTAGTTTAATGTATGCCATGACAAGCACTCGGCCGGATATTGCTTTTGTCGTGGGAAGGTTGAGCCGGTTTACTAGTAATCCTAGTACTCAACATTGGCAAGCAATGAAGAGAGTGTTCAAGTATTTAAAGGGAACCATGGATTATGGTTTGTGTTACTTTGAGTATCCTTCGGTTTTAGAGGGATATTCGGATGCAAGTTGGATATCCAATGTAGAGGATCATTCTTCTACAAGTGGTTGGGTATTCTTGCTTGGGGGAGGTGCCATTTCTTGGGCATCCAAGAAGCAAACTTGTATCACAAGTTCAACGATGGAATCTGAATTTGTTGCGTTGGCTACCGCCGGTAAAGAGGCGGAGTGGTTAAGAAATTTAATTTTTGAGATTCCATTGTGGGGGAAGCCGATTGCACCTATTTCTATCCATTGTGATAGTGCTGCCACTTTGGCTAAGGCGTATAGTCATGTTTATAATGGCAAGTCTAGACACTTAGGTGTTAGACATAGTATGATTAGAGAACTAATCATGAATGGTGTAATTTCGGTGGAATTTGTAAGATCGCAACATAATTTGGCGGACCACTTGACCAAAAGTTTGGCCCGGGACTTAGTGCACAAGTCTGTTATAGGGATGGGTTTAAAGTCCATTTAATCCTTAATGGTGAGACACCCAATTCCCCTCTAATACAACGTTAGAGGCTGAATTCAATGCGGAAAGCTCACACTTAATGGATTGGAACACACAATGAAAATCATCCCAAGGTGTGTGTTCGGACCTGTAGTAGGGAGGCTGAATTTATTTCTTAATAATTCCTTTGATAAAGTGTAAGCAGGTACACGAGTAAAGGAATTACCTATATGATCGTGAAGTGTAGTCGCACTTCAAAAAGCTTGGGACTTGGCTTTTATACGGTCATGAATGGGATTAGGACACACGGCTTTATAATTGTGTCAAGTTTGTATTCTAGTTGAGTATTGAAACTTGTATGTATTTTATCTTGAGGTATTCAAATGGGTTGAAGGGTTCAATCCGTAGGACACCCTGATTCTCGAATATTTTGAATGTGTAAAATACTAAGATGGAAATTCAATCGTATCGACATTTCCATTTATGTGCAAGTTTTGGTTTGTAAGCTTTGTTATGTTATTTCATGGGTTACACTAAAATGGGGGAGGATTGTTGGTGATTTTAGTGTCACCGGCCATTTTGTGTAATTGGAAATGACATGAGTGCCAATGGGAATTAGAACTATGATCTAATACAAGTTAGTAGGTGTGGAGTGCACACTTGTATATAAGAACTAGTTTAGTTCCAAAGTGTCTACGTTAGTGAAACTCGAGGTAGAACTCGAGGTATAACTTTCAGTAGACCAGCTCTGTGGTTCTAGACCGAGTTCTAGAACGGTTAGGCAGTTTCCAGCAGTTTCCCAAAAACTGCTGCGGTTATTCTTAATCGTGTTACAACTGCCTAGGACGATCAATATGGATATATATCACCATATTTCGTACAGAGGATAGAGAGGATCAATATCCAACATATCTTCATCACTTTGGCATTCAAATTAAAGATAACAATCCATATACTCGACTAGTTTGGCTCTAGTTCTTGTGCCTAAGTTCTAGAGTGTCCTTAAGGATTATCCTAGATTGAATTTCTTGTAACCCAGGCATAGGGGAGAAATATCAATTCGGAAAGTGAACTTACACGATCCTTAAGATATCCAAGTACTCAATTATCACCCCCTACGTGATATACCCCAACAAAAATTGAGTCACATCCGGGACCAAATTTTGGGTTGCTTTAATAATTTGAATGATACCATTATGGGTCTAAATTCTAGATCCATTAATGGTAAACTCCTTTCCGGAAAGATTTATGAGTTGTTGAGAACTAAAAGGATGCCGAGAGTATGGATGAGCTTCATTTGGAAGTCTTGTATCCCCCCAAAGTTCTCATTCAACGTTTGGCTTGCTTTGAGGAACCGGTTACCTACACAGGATAACTTAAGTTACCTACATATTGTTAATCGTTGTGACCTTTGCAAGGGTGGATTGGAAACAATTCCACACCTATTTTTTCGTTGTCATTACACTTGTAGGGTATGGGAAAAAATAAAGGAATGATTGGGCATGACATGAGAGATTACCACGCTTAGCAGCTCGATCAAATGGATCCTGAAGGACCACAAAGGATCAAAGATCAAAGAGAAGGTTGTCTGGATTGCTTTTTGCGCCGCAGTTTACTACCTTTGGCACGCTAGGAATGCCAATCGATTTGATGAAGAGGACGTCAAGAAAGAGGAGATCATCTCAAAAGTCAAGCATGTGGTGTATAAAATACTTTTCAATTTATACCCGCATGACTTGATTACATTTTGAGTAGAAGGCCACGACATGGATATTATGGATGCCGCGGTTTTTGACAGATTGCTACATGATTGTTTGGTGCGCCGAGACATGGTATTTTGGATGCCGTGGCTTGGGCACCCAGGACACCGCAGTATGGACATCATGGATGCTGTGGCATGAAGCATGGTCTTGGATTTTAGGGTGTGTGCATCTTGCAACACCTTTGTACTTTGTTTAGAATCTTAGCCTCTGAACTGTGTGCGTGCATGTGCTGCACAGATGTATGTTTGAACCTCTTGATGGGCCAAGTATAATACTTGGTTATTTTGGCATAGATTAGATCAAATAAAAACTTCCTCTCACCCTCATATTATGTGGGGGTGGGGAAGGTTTTAGGAGATCTAGGATATGTGATGTATAGTTTTCTGGGTGTTAATATATATTTACATTTCATCCAAAAAAAATTGGAAGAAACTTTAAGGCAATTAAACTTGAGACCTCAACCCAACTCTCTCAGACCAACTCCAACAAGCACCAACTATCACACCAAAATGGTGGATTTGCCAAAAAAAATGCTCCAATAGCCACACCATATCTTACACC